CAACTCTCAATTGTGCTGGGAGATGAGCTCAGCTTTGTGTATTTGTTCTAGAACACACACACACACACACACACACACATAGACACATTTCACACGCACACCTAGTGGGAATTGGCGTAGGTGGCGTATGAGTAATTTACATTGCGCATACGCACCTTAGGTTGATGCACATTTGATGCATGTATAATAGATAATATTGCTTAATTGCTTTGCATATTATGGTAAATTGCCGCCTATGGCTAATTACATTTTACACGCCCCGAAATAATGGTTGGCTTTTTTCTGCGCTGCTTTCCGCCGGCACCTTTTACTTTTTTTTGTTGCTGCTGTTGTTCGTTTTCTGTTCACTTGTGATTTAATTACGGTTTTGTTTTTCAACCCGGCCATGTTGCCTCATTTGGCTAATTAAATTTTATGACCCGGCCATGTGGTGTTGGCAAGTCTTTTACAGTAGTTTTGCTTTTGTTTGGGTTCGGCACGGACCTTTTCAACCAGTCGGTTAGTTTCCATCATGTTCATAAACATAACATTAAGTTTCCACTTGCTGGCCAATGAGTTGTTCTTCCGTTTGTGTCCATTCCATAAACGGCAGAATACACAACAAAAACAAAAATGATCATCACTTTTATTGCCAATTTGTTCATCTCCGTATCGCTTTCTTTTTGTTGCCAGTTCTTTGCACCAATCCCCATCTTTCTTCGGTGTAAACAAACTCATTAATGATTGCGCTTTTGTAAAGCGTCTTGTTCTAATGAATGAAATGGCTATTGTCTGGCTGGTATTAAGCTGCTTAATGGTATACGAGTAGTCCATGGGGCTGCTGCCATGATAGATCGGACCACCCAACCTTGCTTTCAATAAACGCTTCTACACAATTCGTTTTGTTCCTGGTTTCTGCTAAGAACGTAAAATGAAAAGGAACTTGAACAATGTGTTTGTACGTTTTTGCAAAAGGGAACAGGAAATTATATATCTAACTACTTATATCACAATTCGCACTATATACGAGTACATAATTGTATGTTATTTCTATCTTAAAAAAGCACCTTTATTATGGTTTTAAAGAGAAGCAGTGATTGGTAAATTATAGTATTAGTTTTGTTATATTTTCGATTTCAAATGCTTTATTCTGGGGCTAGGCAACAGGTCGAAAAACTTATGCTGTGTGAGTTTAAATTTTATTATCTATGTATTTTTTATGCGTTGCTAAAACCAATTTCATGGTCATACAATCAAACGTTTTGCATACAAAATTAAATCTAAAATGTGTACGAATATGTCTGAGTAGAACATTTCGCTTTTACATAACTTCATAATACACTTGTAAAATTGAATACTAAATGCTAAAGTAGCGTATCTCCAAACTCTCGCCTGATAAGAAGTTTATTTAAATGTGCATTAGAAAGAATTAAGAATACCAAACTAATAATGAAAGATTCTGTAATTATCATATTTCTGCGTTGGAAAAGTGCTTGTTCTGCCAAAATAAATGATTTAAGTTAAAACTCTCAGAATATATATTAAAAGTTATTTTCGTTCACTATTAAGTATTTAGCAGTCATTGATGGCATTACTTGCATATTTTTCTATTCGTAAATTTGAGTTTTTGAAACGAATAGAATACTTGCTCGTCAAATTGAAAGCCACTTGTATTTGCAGCTTCACGGTAATAGGAAACTTGATTGCATAATTTGTTATTTGAAATATTCCCAATCTATTGTCAACTCTTCTGCGTGTTCCCCTCATTATTCCACAAGGCAGACTCGGTACTCATGCTCCAGCTTTTAGAAAAGTGCACTTGAACCTTGGCAAGTTGCGCGTCTCGGCTCACAAAGTTTATTCACAACGCTTAACGCTAAACGATTAAGCAAAAAAAAAGTTGCCGCTTTTTTGTGTCTTGTGTTGTTGTGGTTGTTGTTGTTGTTGCTGCTGCTTACCTCCATTGTGCGAAGCCACACACTCGAGTGCTTTTAATTATTTCGTATGTGATTTCGTTCTAAGCAAAAGTCAAATAAATTAACATGTCACTTGGCTCCGTCTCTCTCTTCGTCTATTTTTTTTTTTTTTTTTTGTTTAATTATCAGCAAACGTCGAGGTGCTCGAGGTGTGCGCAACACTCAAAGAACCATTTAGCATACCCATATTGTTGTAGGCTCAAGTATATATGTATGTACATGTGTATATAAACACTCGCTTACGGTTGAGTACGTCTCGCAGCTACCGCCTGGAATATTCTGTTTGTTTACCGCTGCTTAGCGGATGTGGACAAAACTCAAACAATGGGAAGCCTTAACACTCGCCTAATGATGACACTAATGTCCATAATGCCCATTTGCCAATTGGCTGCACGACCGCCCGCCCGCCCACCTCTCCAATATATTGTTTGATATTTTTTGTATTTCGGCTCGATTTCCAGATTGCGTGTAGGTTGCATAATTTGTGCTCAACATTTTTTCAAACACATTTTATTTATTGCCACTGCCCGTGCCACACAAATAACTTCGACTTAATCACGTTTTGCCAAATTTGAAGGCTCTTTTCATATTTCTATCATTTATTTTACGCCGTTCGGTAATTAAGTTGCTTTTCGCAAGAAACTACTAGACAGACAGCGGGAGGCACACGCAGCGCGTATTTAATATTTATTAATGCTTGAGAGATCAGTGTAAAAAATCAAAAGTTGTACGAGTATTGAGTTGCCTTGCACGTTTGTTTATTCTCTTAAACGCTTAATTTTGCTTCAAATTATTGGCAAAGCCAATCAAAAGTTACAGTAGAGGCTGCTGAAAATAGAGAATCGTGTATAATTTCATTTCTATAAAACATTAATTTTTTTTAAATCTTTATTATTTATTTAAGATCTGTCCTAAGGAGGACAATTATTTAACATAAATTAAATTTAAAATAAAATAAATATCATATTTCTAGCATACTTTACCTCCTAAAAGACGAAGTATGCATATATTTTGGTATTTAATCAATGACTCAATTATAGTTGAACAAACACCTCCAATTCTTAATTCGTCACATGTAGCAGAGTCCTAAATGTTCGAAAAAGTAACAAATCTACAACAAATACGAAAGACCATTTTCTTACTAAAAGTATTTATACACGTATGTATATCTTTTTAGAGCTTCTTATAAATTTGATTTATATTCTTTTTAGGCAACATGAGCACATTAGGTCTACAGTTGATTTATTTAGATTCGTACATTTTTATTAGTTTGATATCGTTGTTGGCCTTTGCTTTAACAGGAGATAAGAGTTTTTGTATTTTTTAACTGTGCCATTTCAAGAAGTTTTAGAAATATACAGACTTATTTGTTTGAAATTATGATAATAAGTAGGACAATGAGAACATTTTATTACTTTTCATTATTTACCACCCTTTTTTGTGTTTGTTTATACCTCTGGATATTTAAATGGGAATCATAAATCGCCCATAAATCGGCTTCAGCCGAGCGAACTACAATAACAAAACCGCTTTCGTAGAAAGAACTTTTAAAACAGATCAAACTCCTTGAAGTTGGTTGCGGTCCAAGTCTGGAAGCTTATAGAACAGCTGTTTTTGTTTCGACGCTTCATGCGGAAATCGATAGGCGTTAATCGACAACATTGCGAATTGAGTTATGCAGCACTAATTTGCATTACGGTATCCTTTCGTAATTGACATGGCTAGAAAGATCTGAGCATTTTTACTTTTCTTTTTAGGAAATGTAATTGATGGTGTAGTTAAGGGCAAAACTTTATTTATATTTTTTGAGGCACATTTCGGATAAGTTTGCTCTAAATTTGATTTATTTAGAAGAGCAAAGATTCGTACATTTTTATTAGTTTGTTATCGTTGTTGACTTTTGCTTTAATAACATTGTATTATTTAATTGTGCTATTTCAACAATTATTCGCCTTTTAAGTCATAAAGCAAGTTGCTCTTAAGCGATTACTACTGCATTTCATAAACAAATATATATATGTATATTGTTTATCTCATTATATATGCCAAATTGTTATTGTTGAGCCGGCTCAATGAGACTTGAATGCCGGCAAAAAGTCAGAAGTCAAGACATTGTAGTGATGCGCAGATTTTTAAGATTTGTTGTGCCAATTTTTTGTTGGTGTGTTTGCCTGCTTCGCTCTATGGTTTTGTTGTTTCATAAAAGATACTTTGCGGTTTTCTTTTTTATAGGCCATTAAATTGTGTTGGCCAGTGTGACGGGTTTCATTCTACCTATAAAACATGTTGCTATTCGGGCCATAGACTTGTGTTGAGTATTGACGTATTGCTCATGATAGATACATAGATCGATTTGGGACATGTTTTTGGTGTTATGACATAGACCGATTATCGATATCTTCTGTGCGTATCTATAGCTTTTAAATAAACAAGCGATTGCGCGGCGGCTGCTGTGTCATATTTGTTGCTATTTGTAAGAGCTTGTTGTTATTGTTTATGTAACTGTGCAATTTGTTCAACTGCCCAGCCTACACTCAGACACACACACAGGCGAATGTGTTGGAAATGACTTGGCCAACTAATTGCTATTTGCACATGGCCGCTTTTATATTTTGCCGACTCGTCGTTTCTTTCTTAACCAATTAGCCGCTCGTGGGTCGATCTTGGCAGCTTGGCAGCCGCTACTGCCAACATCTGGCCGATACGAAGTGCTGCCGGCCGTTGCCGTTGCCGTGGCCTAAATTTGTCTTGGCTGTAGATAGTACATTTGTTAACCTTTTCTTTGCCATTTATTTCCTATTTTGTGCAACTCACAATTAATTACCTTATTACATACTATTGTTATCAATTGTGCAGCGTAAGTAGCTTTAATTGAATGTTGCCTTTGTTGTTGCTGTTATTGTTGTTACTGTCAGCATGCCATCTTTCTTTTTTCAATATTTGTATTTATTTATTTGTTTATGCTATTGCTATTATTACGTTATGCTCATGCGCCTCTTTTCGCGGCTCGTTTGCCGTTATTTTCTTTTTGACTTTTATTTTTAGATACAAACAGCATGAGTCGTGAAAGCGATGACAACCTGAGTTCAATTAATTCGGCGTACGCAGGTAAATATCTTGTTTCAATTATTCGCATTTTATGTTTTATTTAACCCTTGGCTTCTTAATGCATTTCATTTTTGTGGGCCACAAACTCACGATATTCTTAAATCAGTTAACTGCTTTAATTCGAGGTGTGAACTTTTGTTAATGGGCTGCTGAACTTGATTTGACTTGCTTATAACTGTGTGCTAAAAAACATTAAATACCTATTAATACTTATTAATAATGTTAATTCAGATAATAATGTTAATAATGTTCATCTCAACTCTTCATATCCAGTACCTAAAGGGTACGCAAAAAATAATTTTAAACAAATACATAGTTGTTTGAAGTGACTTTATAGTTGGGGTCTAAATTTTAACAAATTAAAACATGGGTTCTGTCCAGATTCTAAATAAACATAGTGCGAAATGTGTACTAATTATTGCTGCACTGGCTTTTAAGAAAGTTTTCTATTTAATAAATTAAAAGTCCCAGTAAGAAATCTTCCTGCTCTTTAATTTGGTTTCTATTTATAAATTGTCTCACTTCTTCAATTTGGTTTTTCGTTCAATTTTGCCCTAATATTATGCTATTTTGGTTAAAAAATATCTGATCTTGGAAGCTATTAGATAGAGGACCAGTGCATGTTTAATATTTTCTTTAATCACAATTCTTCATGTCAGACAGCGCTATCTATTTTGATTAATTTAATAAATGAAGTCTGACCGTCACCCAAAAAACTCAATGTTAACGGTTCTCTTTATCTCGCAAAATGTCGCTGAAGACCTAATGATGAGGTTACTGCCAGCAACAGTTCCATTATCAATCCGTTATGTCTGCCACAAAATGAAAACATTTCCCACAATCACACGTCCAATGGGCAGCTCTTTTACACGTAGCCTCTTTACGACTTCCACCCAACAATAAAATGTCCATTAAATTAGCTATCATTTTAATCATTTATGGGACCACTAAAAAGTTTAAAGCGAACGCATTTTGTCAATGCAAATGGCTTTCATTAAAAAGAATAAAAGGCTAGTTAATTATTTTTTGCTTCATAAGGATTGTCGCACGTTCGTTCAACTGTCATTATTGGTGCCCTTCTTATTCATCAACTGCCGATGAACAGCAACAACAACTACAATAATAAGAACACATGTGACTGAGGTCTTGTATTTTTGAATTATACTCGTATTTAATTTGAATGCCTATTGTTTGAAGCTCTTTAAAATGCTGAACACGTTCTCCACATACTCGTACAATATTATTCAATTTTAATTGGAATTTAAAAAAGCGAACTTGGCGCCAATGTGGGGGAATTCTTATACATATCGTATTACCGGTATATATTGCATATACTTGGCTGATTTTTGGCACTGCCTTCAGAGTTGATTCGCCGGCAAACTGGACACGTTTTGTTTTGAAGGTATTGCAAAAACAGAAAAACATGTTGCGAAGTTTGAAAATTGTTTCGTCACGTAAGCATCTTCCAACCAGATTTCCAACCTCCCCTCTCACACCCAGCGATTATTTATAGGCAAGCTGAAAGCATTTATCTAAATGCAATTATCTTGTGTGCGCTCAACAATGAGCTGACATTAAAACAATTGCGATAAAACCCGCATTAATATGTGCACTTTATTTAGCCTGCTTTAAAACTTGCCAAGCCGCTTTAATAGCAACGTGAAGCCGACAGCCCACTATGGCCAGCATTTCCATGCCGAAAAGTCATGTAAGCCATGTCCAGTGCAGGTACGTACTAGCGTACATACTTGTATGTATGTGGGATGAGAATCGTTCAACGACCGGTCAAACAAAACTGTAGCGACCTACACACGACCTATCCATCTACAGTATACTGTCAGAGTTGTGCAATCTGGCTAATATTGAATGAGCTGGGTCGTACTTGCCGATCCTTATTCATTTTCCCTTTCCCATTCACTTGCTCCGTCGAAATTTATTTCAAAAATTTGAATGGGAATTTGTAAACACATGTTGTGTGTTTGGCGTTCAGCCCTGATCTCGTTCCCAATCTTGCTTTCGCAAAATTATCATTTTATACGGTTTCGAAAGTTTTGCTTTTTAATAAAAACTCATTAACAAAGGTCAACAGCCAATAAATGTGGCCAGCTACTTTGCCAAACATAGTTAGTCGCAGTTTGTTATGCATTTAAATAAATGTTATGCCATCAGTTACTTTACTTTTGCTTTTATTTTCCAACAATTGGTAGGAAACAAAGTGTTTCTACAAGTATATATTTGAAATGCATTTACTTAAAAGACTTTCTTGAAGATCGTCATGTTAGTCACCACTTCTCACCTGCTCCCGACAATAGAAACTTATTCTATCTAGCAGTACTATAGTGCGTCTATATCTGTGATAATTATGATAATCTAGAAATCCAATGGCAATTTAATTATAAGATTTAGGAAAATATTACGATCAAATTCCGTCCCGTCAAGAGTGTGGAAAACAAACCTCCGGGGAACTTTTAAAAACGCTTATCTCTTTCGTAAATGAAGAAAAAACTAAATGAGTTTACTGAAAATAGCATTGGGTCAAAGGTTGAAATTCAAAGGACATGCTAAGTATATACTTATTATATAGATTGGTAGATCAGATTAGAAGTACGAGTGTTTAACAAAGTTAAAGTTTTATAAATAAAACCCGAAATATTTTATTTTTCTTGCCTATGTTTTTGCTGTAGATTATTCTAAGAAAACATAGAAGAAACACCAATTTGTGGATGATCACATACACAGCAATCATCTTTAATAAAAAATTACATTATTTTGTGGATCATTGAATAATTACTGAAAGGAAAACAACTCTTGTGGATTAAACTGGTTCACTTTTAGAGTTTAGAGTAGACTTTTGCAGCAACTCTACAATACAGCTTAGCTTAATTAAATGTTGTTTAATCATTTCAATAGATAATGAGCCATTGACGTCGTGTATTTGACGCTGCGTCGTGTGTCATGCCGATTGTTGTGTGCATTGATTTATCTCCATGCCATTACCATTACGTATATGGTCAGGAGCACAGCGCGCCTTTTGGATTTTGGCCAGAATCGTGCGTAAAGTGGGTCGCGATCTGTTCGTTTAAGGCTAAGACTACATTAGCAGCATTAGACTTGGGGCGCCACACTCACTCACTCACTCATTCAGCCGCACCGGCACGGCGGTCACTTTGATGATTCATTCAACACCACTGTGTTGTATCTGTCAGATACATGAGTTCATTAGTGTACGCCTAGACTGAATGTCAACTGCAAGGAAATTGTTGCTCACTCGTATTTGTATGTACATATGTACATACTAAGTAGACGAGCATGTATTTTTAGCCAGAGACGTTAACATTTCACAGTTAAACGCTGAAATTAACAATTCAGATTTGTGCAGTACTTGGAAACAATTTGTGAAGGTTCTAGCCCGTTGCATTTTGTATCTACGAGTACTCGTATACTTGTATATCTGTTTTATTACCGCTCCGCACACTGCCTGCCATTCAGTGGCCTGTCATAAAAATATATATTTAAAAAAAAAAAAACGACTTTCGCGCTGTGGAACGTAATTGTTCACTTGAGCGGCTACAGAACGCGCTTAAGTGGCACGCATATAGCTCAGCGGCGTAGACAACTTCAGACTGACAGATACGGACACAATTGGATAAAAGCAAATTGAAAAACCGCTAGAGTTTTTGTTCAGCTACTTGCAAAACTTCACAGCCCACAGTGAAAGTTTTCCACTTGCTTGGATTTATGGACGATACGAGCAATTGCAGATACAGATTCAACGCCCCCTTTGCTATAATTTAGGGGGGGAAAAAAAGCAAAATGCCAGCGTCATGAAATATAATAAGTAGCTAACCAATAATAATAATTTGTCTTGATTGATTTGCTAAGCAAGTCTGGGGGCTGGGTCGCAAACGAATGCGCGTATATTTGTATTTTTTTGAGCCTTGAAGTTATGCGATCTTTTGGCCATGTCTGATTAGCCACACGGTAGCCAACAGCACAAAAGGTCAAATCTTAGGCCGAGCACATCGCACAGCCACCATGTATACCATAAATCAAACAAAAAACTCATTTACGCTGACAAAAACACAATTAGATTCACGTCGCCACATTCACAAAAAAAACACCAAACACAAAACAAAAAAGATACATCACACGAAGATACAGAGTGAGCGGAAACCAAAATCGTGCAATTGAGATTTGTTTTGTTCAGATTTGTTGGCCGCCGTCGAGAAAATTGTTTCGTATTTGCCTCTCTCCAACCATTTTACTGTCTGCTGCAATTTTCTGCGCTGCCTTTCAATTGCCACAAAACATGACCAAACTGTAGACAATTCAATTGATTTATGGTTTATGAATTATATATTTTTTTGTATTTTTTTGTCATATCGAAAATTTACGGCAAATGATTTAGAAAGTAGCGCAAATTGTCGGCCATAGATGACATTTATTGTGGTGCTGAACTTCAGATTAGACCCGAGGCTCCCGAAACTGCAGGGCTCTACTACATAGAGCAGAAAACATGACCATGTTTTGTTGTACATTGATTTGTTTCATATAATTTTTGTCTCAATCTGGCAACAATAAGACATTATTTATTCCAAAATAATATTTATACTCCTTAGTCTATTTGTAGCTTATACTTTATTACATTTTTGAGAATTTCTTTATATTCTTGATTAGTATTGAAGAATGAAAGAAACGACCAGACTGTCATACAGAGATTAATAAAACTGGAAGAGCCCAACTAAATATCAATAGACAATGCAATAAATATAATCACAGTTAGACGGATATATCTAAATTGCAACTCAAATAAGAATGGAATACCAGGGTCATGCAAAAGTTTAGATATATATAGAAGTATACAAAATAATGTACTTAAAAACTTAACAGCTCATTTCGGGGAAGTGGTCCGGAGATCCTTGCGTTCATACAGACAGACGCACATGTCTAAAAGACTCGGCAAGCGTCCTACCGGATGCTGCAACAACTTACTTTGTCGTTGAGCTATCGAGGGCAGATTAGTACTCACAAGATGGTGCAATATTTTAAGAATTACGCCAGTTATTATAAGTCACCAATAGGAGAATAAATAACTCAAACTTTCTGGAGATAAAGTTTGGTTCTTTTAGGTCTATTAAATACTCTCCGACAACATTCGCTCATACAAACGAAGAGACGGGCACAGGGCACAGGGAATGAAAACAGGCAATGAAATACTTGAAGGCAAATATTATTGATTCAAAAATTGGCAGCAGAAGAGTAGCAATTATTATATAAATACGTTGTCGTTAGTATGTACTTACAACCAGATAACGTGTTGGGAGTACAGAAATTAGTCTAAATAGTTTCAAAATATATTTTCGAGTTACCTTTACATGCTAATTGTGACCTAGAAATTGTTCCAATTTCGTTCAGATTCTCTCTAATTACTGAAGCATAAACAAAACTAATTCAATGAACATTTTGATCATTCATGTTTAAAGAAACTAAAAATGAACCCTCCAGCTGTATCGCGGCAGCCGTTCGCTGTTGAACTTAACTCTGCCGGCAACTAACTCTACTGCCTTACAGCAATAAACCAATTAAAAACGCAAGCAGACAATAACACGAAAACTTTCACAAACTACATGGTATGAACATTTTCAAAGTTGGCAACCCGTATGTGATTAACACGAATCCGCTAATTATTAACTTGAGAATAAACTAAAAACACAAGCAATCGGCTGCTGGACCCTGCTTGAGACTGAAGGCAGCTTTCGAGATCTAACAAAACACCCACAACAACAACAACAACAACAATAACAGCGTTACTAAACACACAATAAACAAAAAATGGCAATAACCGGTAATAACTAGCAAGGTGGCCAAAACTCTAAACAAATGAATGTTACATTTTATGCAAATTCTATTGCATGCACCCCACCCAGATCTCTATCAAGAGACTGTCAAGCGCTTTACGCGCTCCTCGCTCTCCCCCACATCCGATTGGGAACGCTTTTCGGCCGGTCGCCGATCGCTCAAGTCGCGCACATCAACGCCATTATCCGACAACGAACGACGCACATCTTGTAAGTTATTGTTCCTCGTATTGTTGTTGTACGCCGTTGCATGAAAATGAAACCGTTCTGTATTGTTTTGTTTTATTTTATTTTATTTTTTGTCTCGTTACGTTCTCGTCTTCAAAGATGATTATTATCTTGAGGCCACAGGTCGGCGTCGAAGCTCAGGTAAGAAAAAAACGAAAAGAACAAGCCATTAACTACAGCAGCAACCACCCACCCGATTGGCCATATACAAGTACTATACTGCTATATAGTGTACGTATCTGAACGAACGTGTTCGGGTGCCAACTTGTTTATGTTCCACTGACACACACACGTCACTTAACTATTTGCGCAGGTGGCTCGTGCTGCAAAAACAAAAATCAAACAAAATATTTTTGAAATCTATGCCAGTTGCTCGCTCCATAAACGGTCATTGGACATAACCACGATATATGGCTTTTTCTGGGCTGACAATCGCTCACAGCTATTGACGGCTTGCATGTAAATTTGTTCGCATTCGATCGATCGTACTACTCGTACTAGCTGCATTGTCCAAATGTTGTCGCATTAACGCAACCTAATGAACCAATCTGGAAATCATACCTATAAAGACGCATTCATCTCCTCCATACACGTGAAGCCCAGTGTGGGTGCAGGCTGTCGTCTATGCATATAATGAGGCAGTGTCTAATGATCGGTGGCTAATGCGACATTATGTGTTTGCACGAATGCTGCAAATGTTTGTACGCGTCGCAGTTGAGTGTTGTTTATAGTTAACGGGTAAATAGTATACTTGTATGGCTGGAATAGTCAGAGCCAGTCACAGCCAAACGAAAAAGAAACACACCCCAGTCTATATCTGGCTGAATATTTATTTTAGTGGTCCATTAATTATTTAACGACACATTTCAGTTGATCCCATTAGCTTCTTAAAGCAAATTAAAGACTGGACAGCAATAAAAATCCCAATTCAAGTTTCGGGTTTTAGAAAGTGTTTTTGTAAATACTATACATTATGAAATGGACCACACTTATATGAAACCTATGTCCTAAAGCTTATCTTGCATATCGAGGAATACAATGGATAAGTAACTAATCAGTAGATAAGCCAATCGACAAACTGTACCGATTGCTAATCTGTAATTGAAGTGGGGGATACCCTTAGAGAAAACACGCTCGGATTTAAAGAATAGCTTAGTTAGCCTCGACGAAAGTTTTGAATTTTCATTTCTAACGATCGTGTTTTTTTTTTTTTTTTGTAGAAATGTACAAGTATTTTACAATTTATTAAACCAATATTCTGCTAGCAATGTGGCAGCTTAAGCTAATTTTAATGGCTTAAAATATTTTAATCTCTCAAAAAGATTTTCTTTCTTGTAGAATTTCTGAAGAAAAAAACACATACAAACGCTGAACTATTTTCTCCAGTATGTTAAGTAATTCGCATAATTCGAAAACACTTTTTTTCAAACAAATTTTTGGCACATAATCTTAAAAATTATGCTCAACAGCAATATGCGATTGCATCAATATTAAGTCCTGACACATCCAGAGTCAATAATCGCTTGACATCAGCATTGCAAGCGACTTCCCAATTTGTCGAATTTAACGGAAAAATTGCTAAGGAGTTTTCCCTGAAGCTTTATAAATGTCCAACCATTTTGAATTGGAATGTCATCCGGGGACTGTCAAGGCCAATCTTAAGTGACGATGCCATTTGTCGTTTGGCAACATATTTTCACCATCAAGTCCCAAAGATGAAACTTTATTGGGTGTTTAGCTGTTCGCTATCCAGCGAATCAATTGGCTAGGCCCCTTGTTGTAAAGATAAATCGAATGAAAGCCATAAATTGAAGACCCATTTGACACCTTTGTTTCGAATTAAGCGTCAGCTTTAAATGCTTGAATCGTTTAAAGCGAAGAGTTGCCTCAGCTGAAGAACCTATTGGAGTCTACAAGATTTTGTTGCCTTGCAGTCGCATTAGCGCAGTTTAACTGACATTTTGAAGATGTAACGTGACACCTTTATGCCGCCAACCGGACACAATGCTCGCACGTCGTCGCGTAGCACAGCGGCAACAAAAACCAAACAAAACAACAAACAGCAGCTTCAAAAGCAATTTTGCAAAAATTTACCATATCTAATGAATGTAGGCGCTACTGCAACAATTACTTCGAGTACGGGTATACCTCTTGACAGGCTAGCCACACAGCTTCGTGCAAAACCTGCTGATGTCTATTGAATTTTTTGAAAAAGGCCAAGCAACAAAAGCAGCGCCAGTCGTATTGTGACTTCATAGGTCGGATGCAATTTTCGTAATTTTTGAGTTAATGGTTTTTGATTTAAATGTCATTTTTCATTTTTTTTTTTTTTTCAAATAGTAATGTTTTAAATAACATTTTAGAGGCGTGGGCTCAGTTGGCTAATGCAATGGCTATGAAGTGGGTAGCAGAGATACTATAGTACATATCTCAAAAGTATAGTAGATATGTGAGAAATATAGTTTGGTGTAGATTTTGTAAATGCTTTCAAGATTTTTACAATTTACTCGAACAGTTGAACAAACTGGCTTCAATTGCAGTTTATTCACTAAATTACAAGTGAGGTAAACATATCTTAATGATAAGAGCAGAGGTAGCCTTTTCTACTTAATTGAACAACATGGAAAAATATAAAAAGTTAAACAACAATTGACAGTGTAGAGCGGGAAAAATCATTCGACAATAATGACTTCAAACTAAACTGACTTTATAGCAATTTTTGGATTATTTATAAATTTATTATTATTTATATGCAGGTACGTAGAGTACATGCATCTATAATTGAATCTTATGCTTAGACAAGCAACTAGAAACTGGCTTAAATGATAGAATGGGTCAGAAATTGAATTTTAAAATGTCTTATAACCGCAAAGTTTAATTTTGGGTTTATACAGTTGCTTTGGTTTTCAGCTGAAATGATTTGTAGTTCGACTTTTTGGTTGACGGATATTCAAACTACTGCCACCATTGGTTTTCAGAATAAAATATCCGTTATAGAAGTCAGAGAGATTTGGATTATTGCTTCGTTATTGTCACGCACAGAAGTAAAGTAATGCCTGTTATTGGTGTCGTGTAACTGCTGGCTATTCAAGTTCACATGTCACATCTCGGCAATTTAGAATATAAATAAACTTATTATTAATAGTCAATATCCGTTTTACGAATACATATAAGCATTGCGCACTGAAGCGCGAGGGAGTTCGCATTTGCAAAGCCAGTCGACATTAGTTGTTAGTAACAAGATTGCAAAGTTTTATTGAGAGAACCACGGACAGACCGCTATATGTAAATGCATTCAATTATGAATGACATCATAGTCTGGATATATACAAATAATATGCAGAGCTTGAGAATATTGCATGATTGCAATTGAGAGCTGAACTTGGGCGATTATTATTGTTATTGTGATAAATGGATAGCATTTGAAAAGCCCAAGAAACAATTTAAAACTATGAAAACATTCATCAATCATTCGGTTGGCCAAACTAAACCTTAACTTTACCCTCCACAGATCACAACAGTGCCGTGCTCACAGCCAACACAGAACTGTTTATAATTGGTCAACGAGTATGGGTTGGTGGCATTCGTTCCGGACAGATAGCCTACATAGGCGAAACACATTTTGCACCTGGCGATTGGGCCGGCATTGTTCTGGATGAGCCAAATGGTAAGCGACTAGAGAGAGGGGAGTGCTAGAGTCAATAACTAAGTATTGCAATACCCTTTGAAGGTAAAAACGATGGATGTGTTTCGGGCAAGCGTTATTTCCAATGCGAGCCCAAGCGTGGCATCTTCTCGCGTCTGACACGACTCACATTGTATCCGATGTCGGGCGCACAAACTCCCACATCGCCGCTGGCCAAGAACTCGCCGGAACGTTCACGCACTGTCTCGCCAACGGCCAGTGTTCGCAGCTCTATGCTACGCAGTCCAAGCACAGGCAGTAAGTAGCTAGATGGGTAACTCCAAGCGCAACTCCAACTTAACGGCATATCCATTTTACAGAGAATGGACTGACTGTGGGCGATCGCGTTATAGTCTCCTCTGGCTTCGGCAGTCGTCCGGGCATTTTGCGTTATCTGGGCGAGACCCAATTCGCTCCTGGAAACTGGTGCGGCGTTGAGCTGGATGAGGCCAGTGGCAAAAACGATGGTGCTGTGGATGGCATAAGGTAATAAACTAACTGAACAATTGCCCATTCTAACGGAATTCTTCATCCTGCAGATATTTTGAATGCAAACCCAAATATGGCGTCTTTGTGCCCATTGCCAAGGTGTCGCTGTCGCCATCATCGAAGAAGACGCGTCTATCGCGTACCGGGTCGCGCGAATCTCTCACATCCATTGGCACCATGAACAGCATTGCCACAACAAATACGTCGCGCATGCGCATGAATGCTCAGGTATAAGTGAGGCTAGTGAGTCCTTCAAGTCCCCTCCCCTTCAACGCACAACACAGTCACACTGTTTATATTACTGTTCCCACTTTGCGTTTGCAGTTTTTATGAATCCTTATTTGAACTTAATATTTAACTGTGCAGTTCCTCTATTAACGCGCTAAATTAACCCTTAATATATTCTAATTTTACCCATGCAGCAGCGCAAGTCGATCACGCCCCAAAAGCCAATTGTTACAACGCCAAAAAGTCAATTTTCCATGCAGGTATGCTAATCGATAAAAAAAAACAATGTCCACGTTATCGAGCTGTTATCCCACTCTGTTAGCTAACATGCACGCCAACTGTACGCAATGCTCTGTTTATATTTGTGTTGCTACTCCTTGCGCTTGTCTTTTGTCCTAACTTTTAATTCTTAAGTTATGCAACTAAACTTACTAATACTATATACTATACTATATGTACACAAATAATTGCCATGTGCACCCCACCTATAATATAACTACACCCATATACTTTACTTCCCTATGGCTATATACATATGTATAAAATGTTTAAGATGGATTCTTTATTTTTTGCATTTTTCTATTGTACAATAAAAAAGTTTACTTTTCTATGCACGCTTTTGCTGTTGGTTTGTTTGCTATTTTATTTGCATATTTTATATCTACGTTGTTTTGCATGTGCACGGAACTAGAATGTCCGAAGTCTTGAAAGGTAAAAGACATCATATGTATGTTATTGATGCACCTCTCTGTACATACACATCAAAGAAAAACGCACACAATTCGTCCCTATATATAGTATGTATAAATATCGTCGGTTGCTGATAGAGAAAACTTCCATTAATTCGTAATTGCGATCAACTTATCGAATTCTCAAAAAATCATATATATTTATTATTCAAGTAGTCTTAAAAAATAAAGTACTTTTTTGGTTTTAAAAAATATATCAAATCGCCAATAGAAAGTTATTAAATGATGCCTTGATACTTCACTAAACCTACAAGTACGACATGACAATCGATACATTCGGTACGGTACATACTTAATCAATTTGTACCTAATTGTATAAAAAGGGAGTTTGTTTCGCTCTTATGTAAATTTTGATAAAAAGTTCAAGGAAACCCTATTTTTTAACGTTTCTAATTAAATACTACCTGGTACCATTACTTTTCGAGTTCAATTCGGTTGAAGGTACAATAAGCTGATATGGTACCATTAAATTGTAGTTGACTTTGTACAAAAAAGTGATATTTTCTTCAAGGCTTTATTAGTAATATATTGCTCATCAATTTATTATCCAGTATCCTATATATAATAATGTGGTATAACAATTAAGTACAGCTCTATCTGCGATCAACGATATATAAATTTATGTAAATCTCACGCTATATCTGTGTTCCTCATGATTCGTTTGAGAGGCATTTTCTAAACTCATACGCTTTCTGTGCCAACCGTTAATGAACTCTTGCAGGACTTGCTGCGCGAGAAACAACATCATGTGGAGCAACTGATGGTCGAACGTGAACTGGATCGCGAGGACGCACAGAACCAGGCGCTCCAGCTGCAGAAGAACATTAACGAGGTAATTATCTTCACCGATACCATGTATGCGCCGCACCCCTATGCGGATCGCAGGCGACCATTTCGCCTCACCCAATGGTTGCCCACTCTGAGCAGCAGCAGCACCACAACAAAAACAACAACAGCAGCTGGAACTGCAAGCACAGCTAGAAAGGAACAGCGACAAAGACAACAACGACAACTGAAACAACAAAAACAACAAGAACCACAAGAAAGTGGCGCCTCCGTTTTGACGTTGCTGCCACCGACGCCGAGGCATTCGCTGCTCTTGGCCTCCAAACGCGGTACAACGCCAAAGAAAGTGTGGTTTTGCGATAAAAAGAAACTTTTTCCAGTTGGCTAAGCCGATCGCTGGCCAATGGCTGCCAGCTGCCAACTGCTCGTGGTTGGCTCTGCTGGTGGGCAGGAAAGAAAGAGCCGATGTTTGCTCAGTCATTTGTGCAGAGCAGTTGTATTTGTATCACGGATTTTCTTCTTCGCCTTCTCTTTGTTGCTGTTGTTGTTGCCAAATGCATTAACGCATGCAACATATACACACACACACACACACACACACATGCATACAGATCTATGTTAGCTACACCCACACACCCACACCACTCACTAATCATTATTATGAAATTTTCAAATTTTTACATTGTGCGCGCCTTATTAGAGACGCCTGCTCGCTCACACTTGGTTGGTTTTCCTTTCTTTGTTTGGTCGTGTCGTCTGTGTTTATTTTCAATTAACATTTTTTCGTTTTTTTCACAGTTATTTTCATTTTGCTCATTGTCTTGTGTTGCCGTTCATTTTACTCACTTAGTTTGCGCACGTTTTTGTTTTAATTTATTCAATTATATTTTATTTCAGTTCATCATTATCTCTAACCCAGCAAAATGGGAACTCGTCAATCACATCAAATGATTTGACGGAATTCGTTAATTGGCTCTAAATGCTTACACTGTTAATACCGTCCAGTACAAATTACAAACAAGTCTAACTAGGGATAGTCAAAAGCTACACGAACATACAAGTACATACATGCATACATAACTCATATCTTCCAAAAGTGTGACTCTAACTACAATACAAATCTCATATACTATATATATACATATGTACAACGCAAATCTCATATACTATATAGGGTAGCTTAGAAAACCCATTATGGACTTTTGAAGATTACTTCCAAACAATGTAAAGTTTAGGAGACATAACAGAAATTCGCTGCCTACCATTGAGATATTAATAAATGTAGATAAATATTCTTCTACGATATATTGCGACTTTCAATAGCATACCGTGCTTTCAAAATAATAAGCACGCATCTCAAAATATCCGCAATATCTAGCGTAGTATTCTTTTATACCCTGTATGATCCCGAGTATACTAGAAATAATGAATTTTAATATATTTAATATATTTAATGAGCAGCAGTTGTCCGATCGGTTCAAGAGTTGGCCTACCGGTATGAATTTTTGTTTTGGGTTTAATATTTCTCAGCCTAATCTGAAGTTGGAAAGAAATATCATATAGAGCAGCAAAGTTTATTTTCGTTGAACAACTGCGGTGAAGAGAGGGAATAGTCTTCCAAAGTAAAATGATCAGAGAGGGGCTTTTCATTACATTAATTGTAGATTCTCCAAAAGTACGATCTTTTTATTTTGCTAAACTCAATAAACCATTTTCAAAATAATCTAGCCGTATCCATATCTAGCTGATAAATTGCTGAAATAATGCACTTTTCTCAATGAAATGAATTGTTTATATTGATTCTTATCTTATCTTAAAATCTTTTCAAATCGAATTATTTGTTTACTTATTTTTTTAACTTTTCAAATTCTTTTGCTAGCTAACTTTTATTCCAAAAGTATTTTTGCTATGAACTAGTATTTAGTAGGGCTTTAATGGTTTATTGGAATCGTCCATATGGAGTGGTTTAGATAAGTACTGTTATTCATTTGTCTGAGATAGGTTTTCATCTGTTCCTCTGATAGAGTTTGGGTATACTTCGCATGCTTTAAAACATATACAAATGATTGGACATTTCATCCCAACAGAAAATCCTGAAAAAATATTAAAAGCAATTGTAATCACCACACAATAAATAAAACAGATTCCATGGTGTCAGCAATAAAAATAGCATGACAAGGAGACTCATCCAATGTGTCCATAAATACCTTCCGTTTTGGGTTTCATAAAATTTGTGTTTCCATTTTGCATCTACAGAATAATTTATTTATAAAATATTTGCATACCAATTTAGCACAATTGCACTTCGGGGGCTTAGGGGCTTCACCTCGGCACAGTGGCACACACTGGCGATAATTAGTCGGTATCTTAGTTGATGGCTTCACGCTTCGTCAAGTGTGTTTATTTGTTGTGCCGTTTGTTTATTCTTTCGGTTATGTATGTATGTGTGTATTTCAATAAACTTTTGTGATTGTTGTACAATTTTGTGTATCAGCGAGTTGCATTTTTGTCATTTATTATTATATTCAGGTCGTTCGCATTTCGAGTTCTGTTCAATTAGCACAACAGTCCCAACCACAATATCCATCCATCAACCAAACCAAATCAAACACTTTTTCCCGCCTGTTTTTTTTTTAAGGCAAATCCCAAACCAAAACAAAATCGCATTTCCATCCAAGTGTGAGGAATGACAAGAAAAGATACAGAAAACAATGTCCTCAACTTTTTGCACTATTTGTAAATTCGTTTTTATAGCAACTGCTGATCGAAGCCGATCGCTGGAGACGCCTAATAGCTCGCCACAGTTTTCGCTTGGCCGATCTGCGACGTGAGTTCCGAGGCTGGACGGGCAACCATGAGAGGCACTGTATACTGCACAGTGTCCTGCAACCGCTGCGCATCAAATAGAGGTCAATAGGTCGTGGGAAGCGGCTCGATCCGATTACACACACACACACACAGTTCCAGTGCTCAAAGTTGTTTACTTATTTCGAAGAGTTTTTTTTAATGGCACATGTCGGAAATACACGGAAAATAGACCTACATAGTACGAATACTATATAGTTATGTGGAAGTCTGCACAGCGTTTTAAGCTGAACAACCAAAAATATTTACGAGATCTTCAACACAAGCACACAACAACAAAAGCCAAGCAATGAAGCAGCAAATCCAATTGAATTACAATTTGTTAAATCGATCTGGCTGATGAAAACATTGGAAGAGAGAACCACTTATGAAAAACTTGTATAAAAAGTTAATATTTTTACGAAAGCGAATTTTCTTGCTGTTGGTTTAGTTGTACGATATACATATACTTACGATATACAGTATGACTTCTTACTTATTTACGTTTAAAAGGAAAAGCATACAAATTACAAATACAATATGACAAATATATGAAATATTTTTATTGTACATCATTTTGCAAATGTTGTTTTATTTGAAGTGCCTTGGAAATTGGTTTTAATATCTTGATTACCTTCTGCTTTCGTTCCGCAGCTAAAGGCACGAATTGTGCAATTGGAGACCCAGTTGGGGGATGAGCGCAAGAAATCGGAGGACTTACAATTCTCCATAGATGAAGCGCAATTCTGCGGCGACGAATTGAATGTAAGACCCCAAAGAGTAATATGTAGAATGTGCCTTGACTGATAACATGGGCTGTAGAAGTGTTAGCCATCTAGGGACAAAAAAGCGTTTTTGAAGTTGTTCTTAAAAACAGACCCTCAAAACTTTAATCATTTTTTTATTAGTTGATCATACCGACGTAATTTAGATATTAAATAAACCAAACTAACACATCTTCTATTCTAAAGGATATACTAGACTATATATAATATATATTATAGCAGAGAGCATGAAGCGATTATTTCGATTCATCGCCCACTTCTTCTCTACTATAAATAGGTTTTTTCAGTAATTTCACAAATATTTGGGAACCGTATGTGTGTTCTTGCGATTGTAAGTAATTCCCACAAAGTAAATATATTTTTAGCTAGTATTACAAGACATGCCCAAGAGCCTTATAAATTAATCCTTTTGGGAAAAAATCGGAGTTGTCGAGGCGAGCGAAGCACGGAACGGTTTCGGCTTGTTTTAAGAGAGTCCCAAAGCATTATTAAACTTTTGAAGAGCCAAAGATGCATTTTTAAATTAAATAGTAACACTTTGAACGCTTTAAATAAATTATATTATTAATTTTAAATCACCCCAATTTAAACAATTTTTTCCATAGTTTTGACAACAGCAATAAAATCACTTAAATTATCGGTTAATTGCTATTCAGATTCAGATAAAAACAAAGATGGAGAATGAAATTTGAAATAAACATGGCAGCTCCTTGTTTTTTAAACGATTTGTCACGACCTGACACCAAATCCTATGAAATCGTATGATTTGTAACTGTTTATACCCGAAGAGTGAAATCTTACACTAGAAAGTCGAAATGTAATAGGAAGAAGGCGTATGGCAGACCCCCCATCTTGTAGGAACATATACATATAATCAGCATGTCGAGTCAATAATATATACCTGTCCGTCCATATGAACACGGTAATGTTTTGAACATGAGGTATAATAGGTTTATGCAAAGTATAGTATGTAACACGCAGAAGTTTCATTTTGTGACGCCTTAAAGTATCTAAAATCTTAATCAATCGATATAGACATATGCGCCCGTCTGAATGATCGCCTAGTTTTCCGAAACGACTGTGCCCATACTCCCAGAACATGGTAGGAAGAGTCCACAATTGCAAAGCTACTTACAGCTCAACTTTCTACATGTACTTGATTTATATGTATTTATTTTTTATTTATAAAATAAGTGTTATATTTGATCCAAAGCAGTCAATTCTAAAAAACATTTTTTTTTGCTTCTACTACTTACTTATGAGCGCTGATAACAACGCATACAACACAATGTCGAAAGCTTGTTTGGGTTAGGGTATTATTATTTCGTTGTTTGAATATGACATTCTTCTTTGTTTATTTTACATATTTTACCGATCGGTGGAAAAATCACTTAGTAGAACGACTTTTGTTGTGGCATTGATAGGTTTTGTAACATGCCTCATCATTCTCTAAAGTTTCATGAGAATTGATGGCCCATATCATATAGTTACCACAGGACCGATCGGTACATACATGCATGCTCTTGGTATCAAAAACTTGTTTGCTCGTACGATATCGAATTCAAACCTGTTTTTGAGTTTTGTTTCATGCCCCCAAAGTATTGGGGTTGTACTGTAGAGAATTTGTTTCGCTAATAACTTTTCTTAGAATTGATCGAATTGGATAACATTTTAAACAACAGTAGATAATTATATATAAATTATGTGTGAAAAGTTTGGTTTAGGTAGCATTTGAGATGTGGACGCTATTGACGAAATTCTGAAGCGTGGGAAGGGGGGGAAAATTAAAACAAATAATATAAACTCGTCCTTTCTCGGACCTAGGAGAATCTGGATGCCAACTTTGGTTATTCTAGCTTTTATAGTTTCTGAGATCCTTGCGTTCATCCAGGCGGACGGACGGACATGTCTTGATCGATTTCTCTCGTGATGCTGATTCAGAATATATATACTTTATGGGGTCGGAGATGCTTCCTTCTGCATGTTACATACTTTGCACAAACCTAATATACCCTATTTACCCTACGGGTACAGGGTATAAACAAAATTACGTAACTCAATGGTTTTAGATCCACGCATAAATACTCAAGCATTTTTATACCCTGTACCGAAAGGATAAAAGGGTATATTAGTTTAATGTGAGTGTACATGTAACACGTAGAAGGACAGGCCCCACAAATAATATATATTCTTGATCAGTATGACGAGTTGATATAGCCATGTTCTTCTGTACTATATCTACGCAAGAATCTCTATGAGAGATAGAATAACCAAACTTGATATTCAAAGTCTCCCAAGTCCGAGAATGGATACGTTTTTTATTCTGATGCACCCACTTCTCCGCTATTAGTGATTTTCCATATTTTATATTTGTCATTTCCATCCCATTAGTGCTTATGTGTCCTCGTGTTACTTTTCGTCATGATAGGCCAAATGGAAAGGAAGTTAAAGGAAGGCTCAACTGTGTGCAGTACAACAAATACACGAATGACTATGTGAGTCATGCATAGACAGAATATAGATTCTATCGAAACTGTACGAGCTAATATTTTTTGATTGATTGAAGTAATTTTATTTTGAAAACGTATGAATTTAATGAAGTATATTTTATTTGATTTTGTGGGTTCTGGGCATTTAAAAGTTGAGCCCACTTGACTCTCGCATTCCTTCCTTGTTTAGATTGTTTAGTTGTTTCTTCAAGCCTAGATAATAACTTGTCAGTGTTTAACTTCTACGCGTTAAAATCTAGAATATAGCTCTCAGAAAGCTCAAAGAATGAAAATAATGGTTACTACAGTCCTCGTCAGTCAACGCACATTTTCTACAAGGAAAAGCTCACTTATAATTTCCCATCACTCACACAATCCATTTTTATCTTGAACGCAGGCGCAAACTCAGGTGTACAAGGAGAAGATTAATGCTCTGGAATCAAAGATAACACATTTAGTCTCAGGTATACCTTCCACAACACCTAATTTTGTTTGCAGAACCAATTGAACTGAGAAAGTATTCCATTTCAGGCGCGCCTAGTCTGCAAAGTATTGAACCAATCGAGGATAAGGCCGCTTTAAGTGCCGCTGAAGCGCAAATCGCCGAACTGCAGAAAAAGTTAGACCTCCAAGAAAAGCAAAATGGAGCGAACTTGGCCGAGCGACAGGAAGAAGAACAACGATTGCTGGAGAACATTAAATATTTGCAAAGCGAAAATGAAAATCTGCAAAAGGAACTGGTCGGCAAGGATGAAAGTCTGGAGAAGTTCTCGCTGTCCCAGTGCGGTATTGAGAACTTGCGCAGTGAGCTTGCTCTGCTCAAGGAAGAGCATGAGAAGCAGACAGAGCAAGCAAAGGCAGACTTTGAAGCGAAACTGTCCATTAAAATGGAAGAGCTGAAGAATGTTACCGACGAGATGCAGAAGCTGAAGAATGCCGCCGATTCCCTAGAGAGTGAACGCTCCAATATCACGGACGAATATGAAATCCTTCAAACGGAAATAAAAATGCGTGATGAGCAGGTTAAGGAGCTGACCCATCAGGTAGATGAGTTGACGGTGCAGCTGAGTGTTCAGCAAGCGGACAGCTCGGCACTGGATGAAATGCTCAAGGCTCAACTCATGGGCAGTGAACAGAGTAAGGGAGCGTTGGAGCAGAAAGTAGCCGAGAATGGGGAACTTAAAAAGACAAATGAAGGCTTAGAGCAGGCCAAGACCACGTTGGAGCAGCAGCTGAGCACAATCAATGCCGAGTTGCTGGCTCTGAAGCAGCAACAACAGACAGCACAGCAAGAACTGAACGCAAGTGTTTCGCTTAATGAGCAAAAAGAAACCGCAATAGCCGAGCTAAACAAGTCCTTGGAGAGTTTGCAGAAGCAGTTGAAAGAAATGTCTCTGGAAAAGGACGACCTTACTAAACAGCTATCAACTAGCAATGAGCAGTCTACAACCAGCATTGAACAATTGCAAAGGCAATTAGAGGAGAAGCAGAAAGTGCACGACGAGGTCAGCGAAAAAGCGCAGCAAGCTGAAACAGCTCTTGCAGCAACTCAAGTTCAGTTAGAGACGCTGCAGCAGCAGTCGAAAGCAAGCAGCGAGCAAAGTGCCAGTGAATTGGAAAAACTAAAGGCTGAGCTCAGCCAGCTGAGAGCCTCTCTAAGCCAAACGGAAAGTGAGTCCCACAGTGCAGCTGGAGAAATGAGCAAACGCATTGCCGAGCTCGAGGCGCAACAGCAACTGTTGCAGACGCAGCTGCAACAAGCTGCGGCAGCAGCAGACCAAATGCAGCAAAAATATACTGAGTTGCAGTCCAAAAATGTGGAACAGTCGAAGCAGTTGGAGCAAAACAGCGAAGCTCTAGAGAACAGCCAGCAAATGCTGCAAAATCTAACCAAGGAACATGAAACTGTAAGATCACAAACTGCCGTCCTGGAGTCGCAGCTCAAAGCGAGTGTAGAGAGCTGCGCTCAACGCGAACTGGAACTGGGTGATGTGACCCGGAAGCACGAAGCACTACAGTCCAAATGCGAAACCCTACATCAACAACATGAGGCTCTCCAAAGCGAACTTCTAGCTGCACGTGGCAGTGCCACGGAGCTGCAAGCAACTCTGAAGCAATTGAATGAGGAATTGCAGAGCAAGCAGAAAACCTATGCTGAGCTGGAACAGCGCAACAGCAGTCAGCACATGGAGCTGGCCAGCGATAACGAAGTGTTGAAGCAGGCCAATGCCAAATTTGAACGTGAACTGACTGATCTAAGGGAAGCACTAAGCAAAGCCAAAGCGGACATCGCTGAAAAGCAGACGCAGTTGAGCAAACTAGAGGAGCTGAACATAAAGCAGGAACTATCGCTTAGCGACGCCAGTCGACAACAGGAGAACTTGCAGACACGTTGTGAGGGTCTGCAGCAGCAAAACGAAACGCTGGAGCAACAATTGAACGGTCTGCGCACCAGCTCCACAGATTCCAATGCTGAGCTGGTCAAGCTCACACAAGAGCTGGTCGCGAAGCAGAAGGCTTACGAGGAACTGAGCAACAAGAGCGGCGATGAACGCGCCACACTCGAGGGACAACTCCAAGCTAATCAACAACGCATTGATGCGCTCTGCAGTCAAGTGGAGGTGTTGACTCAAGAGCTTAAGGCCAGCACTGAGCAGACCGCCGAACTGCACGCCACTCTCAAAACAGAACAGGAGGCCGCAGGCAAACAGAATCTAGAGCTGAGCGATGCTCTGCGCAAACTAGAGGCCCAGACGGCCAAGTGTGGGCAACTGGAGCAGGAACAAGGCAAATTACAGCAGGACTTGAATGCCACTCGCAACAGCAGCTCAGAGCTGAACGCCAAACTTTTGCAGCTTACGGAGCAGCTGGCGGCGGCGCAAAAGGAGCAAGCCAGTCAAAAGGATGCCAGCAGCTCCGAACGTCTGCAGCTAGAGCGTGAGCTGCAGGAGACGAAGCAACAGCTCCAATCCAGTCAAGCCGAAGCCATGCAACTTCAAGCTGAACTGGTAACTGCCACAGAGGCCAAATCCCTTCAGGCCACAGAGTTTGCCAGCCTAAAAGCCGAACTTACCAGCAAGGCACGCAATGAATTGGCACAGAGGCAGGAGAGCGAATCAGCAGCGCGGGAGCAGCTCGTGGCTGAGTATGAAGCACGCCTCCAAGGCTCAGAGCAAATAATTTTGCAGATGGATGAGAGCAATAAGCGGCTGCAGTCAGAGTTGCAGCAAACACAACAGCAGCTAAGCGAGAAGCAAACGGAGCACAAGACTCAGATGTTGCAGATAGAGGAGCAGCTCAGAGCAGCTACTGAAAAGCACCAGGAGCTCAGCAAGGACTTGCAACAGCTGGAAGCTGCCAGCAGCACCGCCACGGAAGTGCATTCTGAGATGCAATCGCGCCTGGATAAGCTGCAGCTGGAAATTAAGGGCAAGGACGAGGCCTTGCAAGCGTCACAAACGCAGTTGCAACTGCAACAAAATAATGGAGTCGAGGAAGTCAACAAACTGCAGGATCAGCTACGTGAGCTTCGGGAGCGTCTGGAAATAAACGTGTCTGAACTGCAACACAAGGAGCAGCTAGCCCGAGAGGATGCGCAAAAGATTGCCGATCTGAAGACACTAGTTGAGGCTGTTCAAGTGGCCAATGCCAACATATCTGCCACCAATGCTGAGCTATCTACTGTGCTGGAAGTCCTGCAGGCTGAAAAAAGTGAGACCGCACACATCTTTGAGTTATTCGAAATGGAAGCGGATATGAATGCAGAGCGCTTGATTGAGAAATTGACGGGCATGAAGCAGGAGTTGCAGCAAACGCACGACCTTTTGGAGAAGCAGCAAAGCACAAGTGAGGAGATTCAGCAAAAACTAAACGCCAAGGAGGCAGAACTACTGGCTCTGGAGCAGAGGGAGCAGAGTTCGCAAGCATCGGCTCAGGCAGCCAATGAAAAGTTGCAAGAGCTGCAGGCAGCCAATGAGGAATTGCAACAGGAATTGCAACAAAAGCAAGCTTTGCTTGAGAAGAACAATGAATTTGATGCCCGTTTGACAGAATATACAAAAGTCATCGATGAAATGGATGAGGCAGCAACGGCCAAGTCCACTTTATTGCAGCAGCTGCAAGCACGCGTGTCTGAATTGGAAACAGATCTACGTCATGCCCACGAAATACAACAGACTACTCAACTGGAGTGCAAGAATTTAACGCGCAAAATCGAATCCCTAGAGCTGGAGAAAGCGCGTCAGCAGCTAGCTTTGCAAACACAAGCCAATGGAACGGGCGGCAGATCTGGCGGCGGTGATGCGCCTGAGGTGGGTTCCCTAACATTCATTCAGAGTTCTTGTCCTTACACTGTTGTAAAAATGGCAATAGATTCAAAAACGTTAATTAATCCATTTGATGATTATATTTGCAGTCGTTGGACACAGAGCACAGTCTTGCCAAAATCAATTTTCTCAACTCTATTATTGCTGATATGCAGCAGAAAAACGATGCTCTGAAGGCCAAGGTGCAAACACTGGAAATGCTGCCCACAGACTTCACCAAGTAAGTCTCCAAATGATGATTGATTCGCTGAAATTGAATGTGATTTCTCCTTGTATTCCAGACCTCATGCCTTTGACATGCTTAGCAAACGAAAGCCAGCTCCTCGTCTATTTTGTGACATTTGCGATGAGTTCGATAAGCATGAGACCGAGGATTGTCCGCTGCAGGCGTCCGATGATCGCGACTACTCACCGCCTCCACCCGCTGAGGCCAACAACAACGAGAAAAAGGAACGCAAATTGCCAGTTCCGCGCAAATACTGCGAATCTTGTGAAGGTGAATGAGACTTTAAATTGATCTTCAACTGTCACCTTAACAATATTTGTTTTACAGTTTTCGGCCATGATACGGGCGAGTGCGCCGACGATGAGACCTATTAGACTTAGGAAAATTATTTTCGTTGTTCAATTTTAAACTAATTATTTCCGATAAGTAGCTAACGAATATCTAAATCTATGGTGTAAGCGAAGCAAAACAATTACCTCAACAGAGCTCCACAATTTTGGATACGTGCTTGATATTCATGCTACAACTGGCAAACGTCTACTAACATTCTTTTAAATTGTGTGATCATCGTTTTGCATACTATTTTGTATTGCCCCTTTTAAATTGTTTTCTATTTATTTATGAAATTAGTCACCGAAAATTGTCTCGTTGCATGTAAAATAAATCAAGAAAAAACACAGATTATCTACGAGTATCTTAATTACGTTTATGGGAAGTCGTTCTCTAGGATTTAAAAAACTTTTAAAATTAACAGTGCGCCACAAAACTAATCGCCACCTTCCTTCTTTTCTTTGATGGCATCCTGAAAATACAAATATCATAGTGGTAATATGTAATGTTATGTATGTATGTTATGGACCTACCTTGAACCGTTCCTCAAACAGTGAAAGCTCTGCCAGAAGATCGGTAATAGCATTCATAAAAGCCTCCTGCGGCGAATACTCTGCGGTTGTCTGTATGCGGATGACGAACTTGTGCTCCAGTGGATGTGGCACCTTATAGCCGGCAAACAGCACATTGGGATCTTTCAACAGCTGGCTACTCAAAACAAAAATAAGTTATGGGAATGGCGCTAATGGTTAATACACTACTTCAACATACTTGCGGATCATGTTGCCCAAGGTATGGTCTTCCTTGTTGATCGTGAATATTGCTGCATTCGTCACTTTTGTGTCCAATTCCTTGATGATTCTGGTTTGGCAAAAATATAAATGTGGAACTGGCCCACCCAAAACAATAATAGCTACTTACTTTTTCTCGCCTTCATAGAGCAAAAAAGATTCAAAAGTTGGTGGAGCATTCATTTTATAGATTTATTTGTATAAACTACGAAAAATCACAATTGTTTATAAGCAGAAGCCGCACGGCAAGCAAAACGCAGTAGGTGTTAGTGTTGGTAAATGTAAGAAAATGAAGAGTTGCAAACCAATGGTTCTCGCGCACTCACATAAATGGCTGGAAAGTTAAAGGTGAACTAGTTTTAGCAATCATCGCTGCCTTGAAAGTGCATTAGGTCCTCCTGCGAAGTATTAACAATTAAGTAATAGCAATATGGTTATCTATGCAACCACCATACCCGGAAAAGCTCTTCAATACGACTAACTCTTTTAATTAGTTCACGCAGGGCGGCAATGAAAGCCTCCTGTGGCGAATAATTCTCAGCCGTCTGCACACGAATAACAATGTTGTACTCCAGAGGATGCGGCATTTTATATCCGGCAAATAGCACTCTCGGGTCTTTAAATAGTTGCCTGCATTGTGTGCATTTATTAATTTTGTTACGTTTATTTAAGTGCTTTCCACTTACTCGCGCAGCAAATTGCCAATAGTGTGGTCAGCCTTATTAATTGTAAAAATTGAAGCGTTTTGCACTTTTCGATCTATGGTCACAGTTATTCTAGAAACATACAATAGTCAGTTTTTTGATGACTATGGTAACACTACATACTTTCTTTCGCCTTTAATGCATTTAAAGCCCTCGAATTTCGGTGGAGCATTCATTTTATTGTACTTTTCTTGAAAGCGCTGAATAAAATGATAATTTTCTGCAAACTGACTTAAAATCAAATGAGGATTGCTGTCCGAAGCAATTGTCAAATTTGACAGCCACAAACCGCTTCCTTCACTGACAGAGCTTCTATTAATTTAAAGGGCTGCACCCAATCATGGCACCCATTAAAGAAAATCTTTTAATTAGTAGTATTAAAAATTTAATATAATTATCCGTAGCTGGTCAGCGCCATTAAAATAACTGGCACTTATTCGCAGTATTTTATACGCTATCTAGCACTTACTGTGCAAGCACATCGATAACATTTCTGTACATCGCAAAATATCGATAACACATTCCAATCAATAGACTTTGGCACATCGCTAGGCAGCTGTTCAATTATTGGTAATATTTTCAAAGGGCGCCAAAGCCGACGCAGTTTCTTGTACTTTCGGCTTTTGCGAGCGTGCATTACACTTGTTAGTTAAAATAAATTGCGCAGCTTATTTAAATCAACAAAATGAGTGATATCGATACGATTGCAAACGCGGGAGAAGCTAACCCGCTCGAGGAATCGACTATAACAATGGTCGATGTGCTTGAACAGGAAAAGGAAATGGAGGAAGAGTATGCCGCCGTTCTTGGCGCCTCAGATGAAAAGGTCTGCACTTATTCAAAGGGCCCCATACAGCGGCAGGCCCTATATTCGTGCCTGACATGCTGCCCTGAGGCTCGGGAAGATGCATCTAAAGGTGCTGGCGTCTGCTTAGCCTGTTCGTATCGTTGTCATGAGAATCACGACCTGATCGAACTCTATACAAAGCGCAACTTTCGTTGCGATTGTCCCACTTTGCGCATGGGCAGCGAGAAACGATGCGCCCTAAACCCGCAGCTGGAGGCACAGCAGCCACCGAATGCTGGCAACATCTATAATCAGAATTTCCAAGGCTTGTATTGCAAATGCAAGCGCCCGTATCCAGATCCAGAGCGCACCACCGAAGACGTGATGCTACAATGCGCAATTTGCGAAGATTGGTTTCATTTGCCGCATGTGGATGCGCCAGAGGCGGCCGAGAAATGGCTGGACGTATGCAGCGAAATGATATGCGACACCTGCATGGAGCAGTACGAATTTTTACGCGATTATACTGGCCTGGCACTGCAGCAGCTAGACGGACACAATGAGTCCAAAGCTTCAGATGTAACTCTTGATGACAGCAAACTAAAATGCGACCTGGATCGGAGTATTAGCGATATTTTGAACGTGGGTGAGGCTGCAGAAAATGCAACAGATGCCGCCGATAAGGAGAAGCCATCAACAACAACAGCTGCAGAGCAGTCGGAGGAGCCGGCCATGAAACGTCAAAGGCTGGCAACCGACGATTGTTGCCGCCCCAAGCCCCACAAAGAGCACAAGGGTAAGTCTTTGATTGCCTTTAAGCTTCAAATAATAAATACATTCACAAAAGTCTCAATACATAAAAAGCAAATCGTAGTTTTTCTTGCCATCACCCAAGTACAAGAATCCATGCTTATGCGAGTTGAGCTTGTGGAAGAAGGTCATGCCCAGCCACAGACATGACTTGATTATAACCAGCCGCTCGTTGCGCTGCAAGTTCAAGGCAAAAGCCTGACCCAACGGTATAACTCCATCAATGGTGTCCAAAAAGTCAATGGCATAGTTATAGTCGCTGCGCTTCGCAAGATTCGCCTTTAGGTCGTTGCGTGGTAAGCGAAAGATCTGATAGTAGGACAAGTTGTCGATTTGCAAATCATTGAGGCCGCGAAACATTTGATTGGGTATGACGCGTCCATCCACCAGTTTGTAGAGGGCCCCGCGCGGACAAATAGCACACTCCTCCGTAATGATAAAAACAATAGCAGCCAGACGCTCCTCCTCCTTGAGCTTAACCACTTCTGGACGGCTGACGCCAATCACTTGATTGGCCACTACATTAAACGTTGGATCCTGTTGCGACAGACCTTAGAGAACCATGTTTGAAAATATATAAGACCGATTAACTCACCAGCTTGACATACGATATAAGACTTGGATCCCCAACAAAAGACTCACGCGCCAATATGGTGGCCTGAAAAATTTTCGAACTCTGGACAAATGGCAGCAGCTGCCATTGAAACTGATCCACACTATAGAAATACTTGCGATCCTTTAGGACATCGTTTGTATAGCCAAATGCAATGTAATAATCATTCTTGGTAGCTGTGATACGACCCCAGAGATAGATGCCCGTGAACCGATTCTCATTCTGTAGCGTAATGAGCGAGTTCTCAACCAGTATACGCTGTTCCGGCGACAACTTCATGCCGCAGTACATTAGGCAGTCCAGGCCCTCCGTGAAATACTCCACATTCATGCCGAACGATAATTTATTTTATTGTGCAGACGCCTTACAAAATATATATGGTAGTATGTATGTTAAGATAATGGAATTGTTTGTTTTGTTTTTGGAAAACTATCTCCAAGCTAACTATTTTTGATTGATTCATATTTACTTTCTTCTGATCAGGCGCCACATTCTGGACTAACGACTGGCGAAAGAAACTGTGCAAATGCGTCGCTTGCATGGCTTTGTATAAAGCGCAGTCTGTGGAGTTCTTGACCGACGTCGAGGATTCGGCTAAATCGTATGAGGAGCGCGGCATGAAACGGGCCAAGGATAATTCCAGCTATGAGCAGGGCATACGTGCTCTGGCAACCATTGGACGCACACAGCAAATCGATGCAATTACCGAATACAATCGCATGAAGGATAAGCTAAAGGAGTATTTGCAATCGTTTGCGGCCAGCAAGAAGGTGGTTACTGAGGATGATATCAATCGTTTCTTTGCTGGCATGCGGAACGAAAATAATTCCAATTTGGGGCAGCCGTATTTTTGTCGCTAGATGCCCCCTGAATCTAAACCTACACCCTATATTTATGTTAATGTGTATAGCAGCTTGAAAATCTTTAGTTCTAGTAACCATAATCATCTTTGCATCGTACTATAGAAATATATCTGGCAACTGTCTTGATTAAAATGAAAAAGTGAAATAAAGTGAACATCCTGATATCTCTCATGCAGTGTCGTTAGAAATTTCTATTCATATACTTTCCAAGATTTTGAAGAGAAAAGTACAGTGTGGCAGACATTTGAAATTAAATTTTATTTATTGAACACACAAAATTCTGAAGAGCTTATTTATATGTATGGATACCTATTTATATATTACATTTTTTTAATACCATTTAAAACCCATCCAAATGCCCATTCCTACACAAAAAGTCACCAAATGCTATTATTGTTATCATTGTCATGATTAGGTTTTTAAGGTGGTCAGTGTTGTCTATGCTTAAAAAAATAAAAAAAAAACATATTTAATATTTGAATTCTACTATATCTAATTGAGAGGCGAATTAAATACCAAAATATTTTACCTACAAATGTATTCTTACAAATATATATCTTTTCAATAAAAATTCTGTAATATGCAGTTATTAATTGAATTCAATATTATACAAATATTTATATATTGGCCATAAGATACAAATACTTATGTACAGTTCATTGAATATATTCAAAACAACAACAGGTGCCAAAAAAGCATGGGATAGAGGTTACATTTTAGGCTATAACTTCCTTGGTAATTGACCTATTTGGGTAACACTTGGCACATGGATAAATAGGTTCTTAAGAATGCGATTCCAAAAGTTGAACTCGCCATCGAAAATGCAATTAAATCGTTTAATGCCAGACCAATGCTCGATGAAGATAAATACAGATAAAATGTAATTTATTTCTTTTTAAAGTCAAAATAAATGATGCATGTATTTGCCTCTTAAAAAATTATGTAAATAATTGAAAATTCCACTATAACTATTCTGAACAACAGTGCGTTGAACAGTTGTAACAATTGGAAAGAATTCATTGGAGTTGAAGAGCTCTTGTATTCGTACCCCCGAGGTTAGGTTGAACTAAAAAGTATTTGTTGCTTGAAAGACATTTTAAATTGTTTTATTTTTTACTTCGAGTTACAATTACAGTTTAGTATATCTAAAGACTTATAAACAAAAAACATATAATTAAAAAGGCTTAGTTTGTAATTTGTTTTATAAAACACGCACGAATTCATAACAAAGGGAATGAGCATCTGAATGGATCGTTGAGATTCGCATTGATAACTTATTATAAATATTCGAGTATGCAGTAACAGAAAATCTATACAAATACAAAGATATAGCTATATACATGCGGGTATAGTGTGTGCATTAAAATTGTTTTGTTTGACTTGACTGTGATGGATCTACCTCCATATTATCGAATGGTTGTATCAGGGCATCCAGGCCTCTGATGATATCACTCATTGATTCTACTGGGGCTAGTTCCTCTTGTTGTTGTTCCTGCACTAAAAACTGTTGCTTATGATATGATGATGATGAGTTGGCGGTATTCATTAAATTATTATTATTATTTTGATTGTATTGGTCGAACTCATTAATGTCATTAATGTCATTGTTAAGGCTAATATTATTACTAATGTTCCAGGTAGGCGAAAAAGGATTACTACTGCTGATGCCGTTGGCAAAGTTTGCGTTTGTATTTATGGGTGTGATGCTTCCTCCGCTGAACGCTGTACCCTTCCATTGGGGATTGGTCTGTGGCGTGGCCATGGAAAAGGCCAAATTGCTCGGATTTTGGGGCTGCACTGGCAACGGTTGTTGCAGCTGCTGATGCTGTTGAAGCTGCAGTGGCATCTGCTGATGCTGTTGCGGCATCTGCAACGGTTGCAGCTGGTGGAGTACTTGCAACGGTTGGCCATTGGGTTGAATTGGCGAGTAGCTGTCGGCGGTGCTGCAACTGCTCGGTGAGGCCGGATAGCTAACATTATTGTTGTAGGGACTGGCTGCGCCCATGTCGAAGGCAATATTTTCAGCCTTTATATATGGATCGTAGCCCCCCATTTGTGGCAGCTGCATGGCCGGCACTGGCACTGGCACTGGTGCTGCAAGGCGTCGAACGAAATTGTCAGTTAGTTAGGTGTGGTGGAAAAAGTTGTAGAACATTCAAGTTTAATGAGCGCTAAAGCATTAATGTTGAAAATAAAAACTTAAAAGGCCAGGAGCACTTTGAGAAACTTCAACTGAAAAGGGCACACAACATTAACGACAACAAATACGGCTATATTTGATGGAAAAAAAACTTACTGTCTTAGCCTTTTGGGGTAGCCGTTCGCAAGCTGAATTTTAATAAAAACAAGAACAAACAAAAACAACTACATGTAATATGTTCGGCATGCCGAAGCAGAATTAACCTTTCCAACAAATATGCGTCCTTCATGCCAATATAACCTAAATATATGTATCACAAGAATGTATCACTAAGACTGGAAGGGAGGTTGTTGGATTTGCAGTGTGAGTGCGGTCTCTAAGCAAGAATTAAGTTATGAAAACATTTGCAATTTTGAAATTTAAATTCAACCGCAATAATGTCCCGAAATATAGTAAGTATATACGAATATAAAGTATGAGAACTGTAAAAACTATACTCTTTAAACGCTGCTGCCAAATTTGTTTGTCAACCTGGTTTGGAGCTTATCCGAAAATATTTAGCAGTTCTATGGATTTAAAAAATGTTGGAGTTAGAACTTTAAAATTGTTTGTTTTAAAATAAAAAAGGTATATTTTAAGTCTATCTACTACAACTATAAACTCGAAATGAAAACTGTGTATCGGATAATTGATCGGATGTTTGTTTGAGTAGATTTTAATAATTTGCAACTTTATTCTTATTGGAAAGGCGAAACAAATTGGAAACAAGACATTGAATCGAGTTTTAATTTCACCAAAAACTTTATTCATCAAATTCAATTACACATATATATGTATGTAATAAATATTTGTATGTTTTTTTTCGCAAACTTCTATCAACAAACAATCTGTGTACTACGAGTATATACAAATCCATGTGTGTTGGATCTTTGCGCGTGTTCGTTTTCAAACAGTACTGGCCAAAAATGACTTGACTAGTTGGTCCACTAGGTTAACAATGTATCAAAGAATATTATTTGCTATAAAAGTGCTGCCCTTTATACTACTAAACGAATTGTGTGTAAACTTGTATACGATTTTGTGTGGGTCTAGGAACTTTTTAAAGAGAGCGAAAGATTGGAGAGAGAATTATACTGTGGTAAGTAGTACAAGTATATGAACCATATGAAATGTATTTACGAGTATACGAGTATATGACCCAACACCGCCCAGATGATGGCCGATTCAGTGGACCACTTACATTGCTTTTTCGGCTGTTTTAGCTTCTGATCAAGCATATCAGAATTCAACAGCTTGCGTTTCACACTTTCGACCGCTTTGTGCGCCTCGAGGCGACGATGCTGAGTCAAAGAATCTATAAAGATATTGGGGGTAGTGAGGGTTAGAAACAGTGTGCACTATATACGATTATATACGAGTATGTATGTTTGTATGTAAGTATGTAATACTGAAAGAAAACACGACTAGAATATTATTGTGGCTAAAAATAAAGTTGCATTTAACTAAGCCGCAGCCTCACTGCAGCCCATTGGCCTCGGCCAGCCGTCGAGCGATCTCGTCAGGACTCAGAAACTCCACAACATCCACATCGCCCCTCTCGCCATCGCCCACTGGTGGCTCCGGTGATTTGCTAGTGTACAAAGCAAAATGCTCCGCCTCGGACAAATCGACACTAGGATCAAGTACCACACCATAGGCGCCCTCACACAGGTTCTTAATACTCTGGCGATCGGCAATGGCCACCAGCTCCATGTTGCCATCGCTAATGGGTATGTCGGCCAATTGCAGAGTGCTCAGGGTCTTGCGATCTAGGGGTCGGCCATAGGTCAAGGTGCTGGCATTCGAGTAGCTCTCGGGGTGGAGCAAACTGTTCTCGCTATCGCCCCCCTTTAGTGGTATGTGTATAACATCGGCATTGAGATGGGTGGGTCGCTTGCCCGAAACACTGCTGGAGCTCCGACCCACGGGTTTTCCACTACGCGACGCATTCGTGCTATTCTGGGGACTCAAGCCTAAGCTGTTGCTGTTAGATTGGGGCTGCATAGACTTGGTGGATCGAGCAGAGCATCGATTGGGATCGCCCAGCGAGAAGTGGGCAATACTAGGCTCCCGACTTCCTGTGGGAGTGGTGGCGCGTGAGCCAAGACGTGATCCCGATTGCTGCTTGCTGGGACTACCCTGTGAGCTTTCGTCATCGGTTCTGCTCTTACGGCGCGAGAAGAGGCGGGAGAAGAAGCCCTGTCGTTTCTTGGGCGAGGCGGTGGGTGTGGACGAGGACGTTGCCTGCCGCTTGGTTGGGCTTTGATCCGGGGTGCGCATAATGACGATGGGCGAGGGCGTGGTGCGTGTGGATGAAACGCTGCCATTGCGCGACCGACTGATCGACATCGAATTCGATGGACTATGATCGCTGACGCTCACGCTTAGATCTTGTGAGTGGCGCGGCTTGGGCGGCAGCGGTGGCAACTTGTACTCCGGATCGGGTGATGGTGTGCGCGGCGGCAATGGCAACGGTGGGGACGGTGGCGTGGCCGGGGTTTGGGCTGCATTCACTTTGATCTTGGGCGCTGGCGGATTTGTGAGCACCACAAGTTCGGCCTCATCCAGTTGGTCAAAGACTGGCAGTGGAACTGCAACACTTTGTGTCTCGTTAGGTATGGCGATGGGATTGTTAAAGGCTATTTGCAAGCTGGTATAGGTGGCATTATCGTCAAAGTTCTCGTCCATGTCCACAGATGCCTGCGCACTGGCGCTGGGCGGCAAATCCTCCAACAAATCGTTGAGTTCGCTTTCGCCACCAATGGGTAGGTCCTTAACTGCAGAATTTTCCAGGGTGTCGCGTCGCGAGGTGGGGGCCTCCCTACCCTCCTCTTCCAGGTTGTTCGTTATGGTCGTATTGGCCGTCAAGCTGCTCACATTGGTGAACGCTGTCTGGGCCGTGGCTGTGGACAACGAGACCGTGTCTCCATTCTCCACAGTGAGGCTGTCAGTGCGCTCGAATTCGCTGGAACGCATCCATTCGTTTATCTTATCTACATTGCACAGCGGCCGTGGCTCTAGCTGCGGATGCTTCAGTATATCCTCCATAGGTGTGGAGGTTTGGGTGCAATCATCGGCCAGTTGTGGCAACATTTGCGGCACCTCCAACTCAATCTCCATATCATTGTCATTATCCATAGCATCCCCATATTCGGTGGCATCGCCCTCGTTAACCTCGTAGTCCGTTTGCAGCTTCCGAACAGCAATCTCGAACTCATTAAGTGTGCCGGAGCTCTGCTGCTTGCTTGCGCTGTCATCCGATGAGACGGTGTTGTTCTCATCCTCGTTCAAGTCCAGTGGCGGACACGAGTATTTTGTCGCGGTAGTCTCGCTATCTAACGACAATATCTGCTGGAATATATCCAGGTCCTGCTTGCGCTTAAGCTTACGCTGAAGGCGTGCAAATGTTAGCATACCTGGATTGGGATAGTACTCGAAGGCCACTGGATCACTCGTAGCCATATCCGTGGGCCTCACCAATTGAAGATAAACCTACACAGAAAAGGAAAAACAAAATAAAGTCAGTTCGGTAGATATCATTGATCTAATTTCGTATTGAGCTTAGCCTTAATAGCTAAAAACTAAATACATTCAATGCAGTTTCCAGCTCATAAATGTTATAATAATTCTTAGAAAACGACTGTAAGGACCATTATAATTTCGTGGCTAACATATAGGTTCCTAAGATTTTATTAAAATTCAGCCAAGATATATTTTCAATATCATAAAAATGGAATAGACATCTTTGTGACATACATTTTTTGAACATATTTCGAAAGAAACATTGCCCTATCCTTAGTTCCGAAAGAGTTATTATACGAGAAAGAAATTAAATATTTTTTTCTTGGACTACTGTACAGTTCACTGATATAGCCTCTACAAGAATACTGCTCAGGCGCATCAAGATCGGATTGAATCTGTTCAGGAACACCTTCTCCTTTTTGCTCTTCGTGGTTTAAACTGGGATCCCAACCTTCGTTTGCCTCTCTACTCAAGCAGACTTCTGCTCATTAAACTTCCTTCGCCAGCTAATAGGAGGACTGTCCTTGGAGTTTTGTTTCTCCACAAATTCATTGTTCTTTCCTTAATTTCTCTGTTTCCAGTAGAACAACGAGTATTTGTCTTCATCCTATTTTTTATAGATGCACAACTGATTATGCATTACACAATCCTTTCAGGTCTTTATGCCTAATTTATAATTATCATTTACATCTGCTCTCAACAGAACAGAAGGAAATACCTTTCTAAAAGCCTCTCTTTTCAGTTATCTCCGGAATCTCTGACCACACACGGCCCAGACGGCCCCTTAAGATCAGTCAAGTCCCTCATCTCACAACGAAAATACGAGAAGATGAAGAAGTGGAGGGGTTTTTAAGCTACTGATCAACGTTGTTGGGTTACTTACAAAGACGCTGTGTGTCACATCCGGATCCCGATAGCGGGGCGTTCTAAATGCTATAGCCATTTGCTTGTAAATGTCCGTCTTCTGGAATTCGGCGTCTGCCTCCCAAATCACATCGTTTTGTTCGTTCGTCTCAAAGAAGCGCACCCGTATGTCGTTCTTGTTGATGTTTTCGCACAACATGATGATCTCATCACCGCCGGTGACCTTCGCAGCACAGCTGCATAGTCGAGCGATAAGGGGCTCCTTGCTCTTGCCAATAATGGGGGATGAGACGACAGGGTTGAGCGGTATCCTGAAATCGTTCTTGGCATCAGGCAAGAAAACCTGATAGCACAAACGCAACTCGTACATGTTGATGGAGGCGATGTCGTTCTTGTGGTCGAACTTGGCTGCAAAGGCGGGTATGGGTTAACAATTCAAGTTATTTAATTTGCAGACGTACCTTTGAAAGGATCTACTTTCATGTTCTGACGCTCTGTCAACGAGCTTAATACCTCATTCTTTTTCACACACTGGATGCCCACCTTTTGGAGCTCGAGGGTGTTCTGCTCGGGGGGCAGCATAATTCGATATACGCCCTTTTTGCATAAATTACTGTCATCCTTGCTGACCAGCCAGTGGGGATGCTGGCGATAGGGCTTCTCGCGAGTGACGCAGGACACAACGACCACCTTCTTGCCATGATAGCCCACTATCTCGATTGTGGGATACGTTTTGCACTTCTGCGCATCTGAATTTTTGCCAGCTATAGGGGTGGCGAAGCGATCCTCACATTTATACCGAAATCGCGTAACCCTTTCAGCGGGCTCCTCGATAATGCGAATATAGGCCTCGGCAGGTGTGGGACTGGGGGCCGTTGGCGCCTGCATATGGGCCATAACCGGCAAGGAGACGGATTGTGGAAAAACTTGCGGCGCTGTCGGCTCTTGAGAAATGCGGTCGTTCAGCATGTCTTCTGCAATAAATAAGAACGAAACAAATTGGCTTACATTTCGGCAAACCATAAAACAATATCGCTCAAAAAAAGGAGGTATTTAGAATCTAAAATAAAGTACAAAAGAGTAGAAATATAAAATTATAAATTTAAGCACGTTGATATATTCTATTAATATTAGTTTTATTAATGATGAATACACTAAATAAAACCACTTTTTTGACCCAAATACTCACACTTTGTGTTTGTACTTTGTATTTGTAGTTCGGAAATTCTACTCAACTTTTTCCTCTATTTGCAAATGAGATTAATTCAGATTAGATCAAAAAAAGCTCAAGTAACAGTTTACAAATAACAAGTACAAAATGTTCTGAATTCAAGTCTTATCGGCCTAGAACTGTCAGTTCTATTTTTTCCTGTGAATTTCCTTACGGCTGTTTCCAGGACCAGCGTTCATTTTCAAAATCTATTTTTATTTCGACAATTCGTTCCAACATTTCTTTTGATGCGTTACAAGAAAACCCTGTAAGCTTACGTTAATAAACACAAAATTGTTGTTACCAGTAGGGATTTTTGTGATAATTATTATTTTAATCAAACACAGAAAATACCTTTTTCATAAGGCTTTTTAAAAGGTCACTTGAAAGTTTTGCACTCATTTCGTTTTATGGATACAAATAATTGATGTTGTTTAATTTCAGAAATTAAATTAAGTACCTTATAATCGTTAATAATAGGGATTTACTTTTAATGTACAAAAGAAATGAATATAAAATGATGTCATTAAAATTGATTTTATTTCCTAGAACCCAATCGACAGTGTTTTTCCTGACTGCCATCGCTTGAATATTTAGCAATAGTTTGCGAAAAAGTTGCCGTGCTTGAATATTCAAACTCACACGCACAGTGACACGTGCCAGGCGGCTTTAGTTCGAGTCTACTCATAGATATATGAGCCACGTTACGTGCCAATAAATGAAAATCAATAGCTTGGCAATTTTCTTGACTGCTAGGAAACAATTTTGCACAGAACGCGTACTCGTACTCGTACTAGTAGGACATTGCGATTGCGAGCGAGTATCTGCCAGATAGACGGCATGGCAGCGAGCTATAAACTTATGAATTATTCATACGCATGGCATTAAATTGTAGCCAAGTTATCTATCAATTGCTCTCCCATGGCTGGCCAAGGTAAGTCGGCTCCTGGTGCCACAGGCACTGCCTATACTGCTTCCTCGATGGTGCCAGATGTTAATATCTGACGTCAGAATTGGCGGCTGGTACAAGACCTATTATGCCACTTATATACGAGCATGTATGTACTATACTATATATGTCTGTAAGAGGTTTTTTAGCCATACATACTAATGCTTTTCTGTAGAATTTCATGTTCATATGGAGTTCTAGTGCCTGGCTGCTCCCGTTTATGTGTACTCGTAGTACATACAGAGACAGGTCATCGAATAATAGTTTTAATAATAATTTGCTTTTTTATTTTTTGAAATAAACGTAACATGGGAAATCCGTGCAGCTGTAGCTTTGTACTTTGTTTTAAAAAATATTTTATGTTTCAAAATCTAAACATAAAATTACCATATCTGTCTAAGAGATACAATTTCAATGTACATACAATTTCCGTAACGTAATGTGAAATGCAATTTATTATAACTAAAAAAAGGAAGTTTTCAATTCCTAACATTCACACCACTCGAATTTAAATTACTTGAAATTGTTGTTTCTAAAAACTATATATATCGAAGATCATGTGAGTGTAAGGTGTGTTTACGAAGGAATTGCAGTTAATGAATTAATAGAAATAAAATTATGAACCGATATGTGGAGAATTATAACAAACAAATAATCCACATAATATTTATTTATTAATTTAATTGCAGAAGGCAGTGAACTAATTATATAACAATAGTAACAAAGCCTAGATATTGATGAAAAATAACTATTGTTTTTAGTTATTCAGATGGATAGTAGAAGGTAAACAGAACTTTTTAAAATTTCTTCTTTTTTTTTGGTGAAAAAATTGGAAAAAAATGTTTGCCCATTTTTAATTATCAGTTAACTAGTGCAGAATAAAGTGAGAACCAGACCCAATTGGATGAGACGGGAGAATCAAACCCGACCCGACAATATGACATAAATGACAAAGTTGTTGCCTCTAAGATATAGAAAAGTGAACTCGATTAACTGTTGTTAAACATACTCTAATGAGCTAACTTTCTATAGATTAGAGAGAGATGTACCCTCAGATAGAAATTAAACGAACAATATCAGGCCAATTAATGCCATTTTGTGCTTGTAGTTTTTAAATAATTTTCGATCTTGGATCAAGTGTGAATCAATTTCGAATTGGGGCTATCGATTTGCAGGAATATTTAAAGATATGTGTGTAGAAAATTAGTTCTTTATCATTGATACCATAGATATTGATATTGGACAGTTTAAAATATTTGGGACCTTTTTTTTAGAAAATGACTTTCTAGAAACAAATGGTTGTTAAATGAAAATTCTCTTGATGGAATTAAATTGGTTTCTAACTAATATATTTTCTTAAATTAATTTTGATTTATAATGAAGTAATACACTATATTTTCCTTTCAAAAGATAAGAAACTCAAAGGATTTCATTAGGAAATGAATTGAAACTAAATGAATAAACATGAATGCATTGTAATTCATACAATTCAAGTCATACCAAGTCTAACAATAAACTTCAAACAAACATATATTTACTGACGATAGCTGTACACACGTATGTAAGCAATATATATTTGTCTATATCCCCTCGCTTTTGTTTTTCATGTATGCATAATTAGACATGTTGCCGATTGAATAATTGTGGAAAATAATTCACTGGCAGTAAAAGCAACAAAAGCACAACTATGCATACATATGTATATAGTATAGGAACATTTCTAAAGCATTCGTACATAAATACATACTATATTTATAGCTTGTAATGCCCCATAAAAAAGGCACATAGTCATTACGTTAACTCATTAACAGAAGCCATTGTAATACATACCTAAATTGTCAATTATTTCCTCTGTTGTGGGATTACCTGAAAACGAAAGCAATAAAATATTAGCTAAGTATTCATATTATAAGTATTCTTGATTCTCACTAAATTATTTACCAAAACATCTTAGTTCGTAGAGCTGCTAATCTCAGTTTTATATGAAATATTAATCAGCTATCAGTTGCCATTTTTGTTGCCTTTCTCATGGCCATTCTTATCACAGACCTCTTGGCCTGAACCGTGAATAGTATTCTATATATAGGTCACAAGCGTGCACATAAATATTATGCATGTACATACATACATACATACATATGTACTCGTATATATGTATGTCTATAAATAATACCTAAATGCGTGTTATAAATACGTGTTACACTGAAGGGAGCTACACTCAATACTTCAATCCAAAGCATTGCCAATATTTATTTTTAACATCTTACGATGAAGGTTTTCATAATTGGGTTACATTTTGAAGAGGGTCGCTGCGCAAGGCGAGCTGAAAAATTGTCAAAGGTTGTTGCTAAGCAAACATTGACATGAACCAGTTCTGAGAGGACAAAGGCGATTAGGAATTAATTCTTTTATTGTTGATTAAATGGCGAATGTTTTATTGAACTCAAGTGATTACAAAAAGGTACAGAAGCATTTGGACAACATTTGTGATGCGAAGTTAAAGAAAAGCGATTTTATTTGGCAAAGATAAAATGATTGTTTCTATATACTATATTGCTGATTTCTATACATTTCTTGCTGCCTGATAACAAGTTTCATAACATTTTTCTATAATTTTCCAAAGCTTGATACAGAAAAGTAGCTTTGAAGCTATGGTAAATAAACAAGTTTCAACGAGTTTGGAACCAGAATGCTTAAATACCTGTACATATACACAAAATTGGCAAATAGTTTAAATTCTTTAAGAGATATACTTTCAAGCGAGGTTGGTAACAACTTTAAATCGGGATCGAAACAAGTTTTGGACCACGTTGGAATACGTTTTTAAATGTTTATAAAATATAGAATAATTGTTTCCAATGCAATTTTGCTAACCATGGATATACATTTAATTGACAAATGTTTAGTTTCAAACTAGGGAAGTGAAAATCTCAAATCAGCCATCTTCTTTGATAGTCTGGTTCTATAGCAACAATATTTAAATACCGAATATATTACAAACAGAAAGTATGAACGAATTGATTAGACAAGCAGCTAGCATATGGGGATGGAAACATTTATATCAGAGCTGAAAACAAGTAATTATCATTAATTTTTATTTAAATATTTAAGAATACACACATACACTAGTACGGGCCCATTCTATGAAATGTGGAGACCATTATGTAAATACAAGTAGGTAGGCATAATGTTTTCTTTAAGGGATTTAGATGACGATCAAGGTTTCATATTTTGTTTATATTAGGGCATTACATAATAGCAATAACCGCATAATGTTCTTATAATGATAATGCGATAAAAACAACAAGACCGAACCAATTCAACTCAGACAGACAGACATACATACATACTCGTACATACATACACACATGCTTTCATTTGCATATTTTGCACATAATTCAACATTTCAACGGAACACTTTTAACAGCGGCAACAACAACAATCCGGTCGGGCAATCCAGACTGGCATATAGTCGAGTCAAGACGACTATTTGACCCGACTGCCTGCCTATTTGTCTGTATGCCAAACGTTCGTGTCGCACTAACACTAACATGTTCACCTACACATACACGCACACACACACACACACACACGCACACACACACACACACACACACACGAGTATACTTACTATATACACGCTGGGTCGAAAGAAATTTGCATATGTTAATGTTGTTTACATTTATAACATTGCGAAAACAATTTTAGCACAAGATTTTTTCTTTAACAATTTACACCCAGGCCATGGACATTGGACGCATCCTCCTGCTGGTTGTTTACACCCAAGGCTTTATGGATCAGTCGCGATACGTGTAACGAGTGGGTGGCCAGCGAAGCATTCGCAAACTGAAAGAAAATTTCAAATACCTGTAACCCGAACCGACTCAGTGAACCTAATTAGTGAGCACGTTACGGAATAAGAAACTCAGCCGGAAATTGGCAAGCGAGCCAAACCAATCTCACCGCCTTCTCTTTAATAAGGTCCCGAACCGCTAAGCTATTTCCAAGGGAATACAACTGACAGCCACCATCTCCGGTTACGGGTTAATTTATATTTACGCAGAGGTTGCCAGGAAACACAGGAACCAGGAGTGGCCCTAGAGCCATTACACAAAATTACAAGCCTTTCTCAATCACAAGTGGATGTCAGCCGAATCCGGACACTCAGACACCTACCCACCTTAATTACCCATAGGGTTCGGACAATAGTATGCATGTACATAGCTAATGGGTATAGTCAGGTATGTCACTATTTATTCTAAACTCCAGAAGACTAGAATATTTAAAAAGAAAGAACTTGTGAGCAAATTATTTTCTTGTCCGACTCCTGCATATACAAATGTTATTAAAAATATAAAGTTCGGATGGAGGCACATATGTATGTAGATTCAAAAATCTCGACATTATTTTCGACACAACTAGCTGGACTATTTGGAAATTCCATTTATCTATAAAAATCAACTTTATTTGTAATAGTTTTATTTATTAATCGACATCAACCAAAGCGGTATAATTTCAACTTCAACTTTCAGGATAAAAAATCCTCAACAATAATATAATAAAATAACAATAATGACTATTAACGAGACGTTATTAGTCCAAACAAACTAAAAACAGTAACCTAAAGAAAAGTAAATAGAAGAACTCAATTAATTGTTAGCTAATAGATTACTGGGCAAAAAATATAAAAATTTAATTTCAAACAAAAGAGAGACTGCAAGAAAAATATCATTATAATCCGAAATCCGAAAACAATTGTCGAAATCGTAGTCAGTTGTAGATCTAGCGATTAGATAAAGAACAGATAATAATCTTGAGAAAAACAACGATACCAAGAGCAGATATCCAAATTGCTTCTGATGGGAGACTCAAATGCAAAAGCCTGCTAGACTATGCTGACAAGCGAAAGTTAGAATCCCAGCTTAATCCACGGAGAGCAAAAAGTAGGAATTGCTTCTGGACTGACTCAATACTTTCCCAATGTTTTCTATAGTGTGTACCTCAGACCCATGAGCAGTATTTCAGCACAGGTCGTTTAGTTAGATCATTAACTTTCTCGAACTAACGTTTAATAAAGCTCTTTACTGATAGCCTTCGTTACAATAGTTGAGATGTGAAGATTGAAGTTCAATTTAGAATCAAAAAGTATTCCCATTTCTTAGTCTGGGCCACAGTTCGAGGAAAAGTCATAAACTCTTTTTTTGGCCATTTTAGGTGCTATTCGCATTAACTTCTATTTACTTTTATTATACCTATTTATTTAATTTATTAAGTATTAATATTGAACTTATTTTTAACCAATTAAGAAATATATTTGTATAGTATTAAGTCTTTTTTATGTAGAATTCCCATACATTTAAAACCAGTCTTCACACCAAAACCTTTCTAATTGAATCAATTGTTGTAGCCCAAAAAAAAGAGGAAAAGTCATAAACTTTTATTTTGGGCATTTTAGGTGCTAGTCGCATTAACTTCTATTTACTTTTATTATACCTATTTATTTAATTTATTAAGTATTAATATTGAACTTATTTTTAACCAATTAAGAAATATATTTGTATAGTATTAAGTCTTTTTTATGTAGAATTCCCATACATTTAAAACCAGTCTTCACACCAAAACCTTTCTAATTGAATCAATTGTTGTAGCCCAAATTACAATTATCGATTCGTTGCAGTTCATGCTGCATAGTTTTTGGTAGCACTATTTTTCTGCGAGTGTACGAACACACACGCATAATATAAGTAGTGTGCCACATGGCACCACACGACTTTTAAGTAGATGCGTGGGGTACTTGCTCTAATTATTTCATGTATGTGTCTTTCATTAAATGCTCAATGCATATAGCTGCCATTTAGCCCCTGGGGAGTCAGTCCCAAAGTAACCTAAGCGGCTAATACTTTAATACCAAGGACAGTCAACGTTAGCAGCAAGCGTCGGGCATTTTCCATTTTTTCCATAATCAGAGGGGCACAAAAAGGAGAATGAAAAACAAATTTAATTCGCATTTAGGCGAAAGCACAGCAATTTACTTTTTCTATGAGGGTGCGTTGTGGGAGCGCGACATAAATCAACGCTACCTATGTATCTGCAGCAACAACAAAAGCAGGCACAACTTTGCTTTCGCTTAGAACCATAAATGGCGAAAGAAACTGGCTGCTAGTACATACAAATTGTTGCATAAATATATAAATACACACACACATACATATAAAGTATATACTTGTATGTACGTAAGCTTGAGCGAAAGAAGACGTGGCACGAAAGGATATTGGAGGGAAAGCTCACCAGGCAAGAATGTTAATTAAATATTGTCAAAAATAGAATCCGAGCAATTGTCGTGAGGGGCCGGCCCAAAACGCAGAACTCTCATGCCCTTGCGGTTTCGAGTTACCGCAAAGTTTTGAATTACGAATTGGTGTTTCTAGCTGCTGTAGCTGCTTTCTCGTTATTGAATTGCTAGCCAAAATGGCGTTTACTATGACATGTGCTACGATTTATATAAGTCAATGTATGTATATGTGAGACATATGTGTTAGTGGGGGTTTGGTTATGGGCCACACATACTTCAGTAGCTTGTCACGTGCTCAATCGATTGGAAAATCGCGTTCTGAAGCGAAAATAAGCACGGCTAAATGGAGAAAAATGAAAGCAAGCACAACACGGCACGGCACGGCACAGCACAGCTCTGCACAGCTCTGCACAGTCCTGCTGACATCCTTCTGACCCTTGCCAGTCAGTCATAAACAGGACTGGTCTAGCAAATAGCTCTGCCAATACTTGTATGCCAATGCCAGTCCGTCAATGATGGCCTAATCACGCTCAAGCACTCATACACTCACACACACACACTCACACACCTGCAC